TCCTTTCTCCTGTTTCCTTCCTCCTCTTGTCTCCTGTCTTGTTCCCCCTCTTGTCTCCTGTTTCCTTCACCCTCTTGTCTCCTTCCTCTTCTTGTCTTCTGTCTCCTTCCTCCTCTTGACTCCTGTCTCCATCCTCCCCTTGTCTACTTCCTCCTCCTGTCTCCTGTCTCCTTCCTCCTCTTGACTCCTGTCTCCTTCCTCGTCTTGTCTTCTGTCTCCTTCCTCCTCTTGACTCCTGGCTCCTTCCTCTTCTTTTGGTCTCCTCTTGTTGGTCTCCTCTCTTGCCTTCAGGAAACTGCTTTCTGGCCTTTCTATTAGTAAATTCATTTACAATGTCATCAAAGTCCAGATTCCTGACAAGCTGAGATCCAATAGCCATCAGTGACAGTGCACTGAGGCGCTGTTGAGTTTGTGGTGTTCTCAGTTTATTTTTTATTCTTGCCATTTGTGAAAATTGTTCCCCTTTACAATTTGTAACTGGTAGCAGGCGCGTTTCAAGCTTTTTAAAAGTGTGGGGATGTTTTCTGTGTCTAAAATAATTGTTATTCATCTTGTTAGTTTAATTTCCATAATAGTTGAGCAGGTGTGAATTTTAAGACGCGTCACGCATGTCTCCGTTTCAAACATGTTTAAACTGTTCTGATTACAAATCCAGGCTCTGTCTCTGTAGATTGGTGCAACTAAAGTTTGTACTGAATGAAACTTTATATTAAACCATGTTGAAAAGGTAAGAAAAGGATCCGATTAATTCGCCCCCCCCCCCCCCCCCCCCCCCCCCCCCGTTACAGTCACTGAGTACAGCGCAGTGTGCATAGCTCTGGGGTTAATCAAGTTTATTCTATTCTCTTTGCAACAATCTTGACAAGAAGGCAAAACAGTTAAATGGCAGGTTACAGATATTTCCATTTGACTGTTTATTTTGACGGATAAACTCAAGGATGTTGGTTGTTATGAAAGAATTACCCCAGTGCACACTGATGCACACACAGATGAGCTGACATTTTAATCATTAACGCACATGTAACAAGCCCCAGGAGTTGGGCCTGTTGACAAGATTAACTGTTCCTGTAAAACAGTAAAAAGATGAGACAGAGACAACCGGTGCTGTTAGTCTTTGCCTTGCTCCCGCCGAATTTTTATTAATACAATCACATCATGTATCTTCAAGTTGCAAAACCATCATCCTTCACATGGTCAAACAAAACACTTAGTATGTAGCATCCTTAAAATTTAAATCATACATGCATTCGGTTCCTCTCAGCACCGACCTTCACAACTGTATGAAATGTATGCTTTAATACCTTTTACCTGTGACTTTAATCCAGAATATATCTATTTCTGATCTTAGTCCAACATATCTTTACTGTTTTCTTAACCAAAATATATTTATTCTGCTTCAGGTCTAAATATTTATTCTGCTTTTAACAACAGTACCTGGGCTTGTTATAACGCCCAGTTAGCTCATTAGCTCACAAAAACATCATGGAGGAATCGCGTATATTCTGGCAGCTGAGCATAAACATTCCTTTAAAAAATCACTTTTCAGAACCAGTAACCACATGAAATTACATGAAATTAAATTGTTTAATTATAACATTAATATGTTACTGGACACGCTGGTCTGGTTGGTTAGACCAGTGTTTGAAGTGGAAAATACACACACACACACACACACACACACACACACACACACACACACACACACACACACACACACACACACACACACACACACACACACCAATTAAAATAATGCTGATAGCGTGGACTAGAAGACTGGTGATGGTGATGATCAGGCTGCTGTAAAATGTAATCTCCATCCACCTCCAGACCGAATTATACTTTATTCTGTCTCTATTTTCTCTGCTCTTGTCTGGGCTGACGTAGCTGATGGTGCGGTACCCTTATGAACGGTGAGAGGTACATATAAGAAGTGCAGGTAGAGTTAGAAAAATCTGCAGGGCCACAAACACATTAGGGAAGATGGACTGTAGACTTTTATATATATATATATATATATAATTTATATTACATTATTCATGTGGACTCTGCTGGGATTATTTAGAGCTGAGAGGCACAGAGCTCTGTTCGTTGATGCGCTCCAGACAGATGCGTCCTGAGCACAGCCACAGTAACATTCTCAAAGTGTCACCACCTCAAAAACAAATTTAACACGCAATCGTTTATGTTGGCTCATATCCTTTTATGTTTTCTGTCTTTTATTTGTGCCTGATGTGTTTTACTGCTGCAGAGCGGAGCACATCACCTGTTTCGTCCTCCGGTGACCACCTTACCGGTGCAGCCAGCGCGCACTCCGCTATATCTGCAGTTGGTAGATCTTTAAGAACTGCAGTTCAAAGGTAACTCATAAGGTGAACATATATGAAGGCAGGTAGCAGTTTTTCTTTAGGACTGAGAGGAGATGCAGGAAGATAATAAACAGACAGGACAGAAAAATAGTCAAATAAAAACAAGTTCGTTTTTGTACCTGGTGGTTGCAACAAACCAACACCACTAAAGTTAATCAGAAGTGAGGAACAGAAAATTAAATGATTCTTTCAATGTTTAGATCAGCAGAAACTCTGAGAGGCTGCAGGCGCATCAGTGAGTTTGCGGCCGCTGCGCAGGGGGAGGGGGGAGAGGGCTGAAGCAGGCAGTAAAGATGCAAAAGCTACCGTTGTTAAAAGAAATGTGTATTAACTTAGAAAATGTGGGCACAGTTTTAATTACTTGTCAACATTTTTCTCCAACGTTAATACTGCTTCACAAAAAAAGAAGAAAACAAAAAGACTGCTGCTTGCATGGGCCCCCTTGTGGCTGTGGGCCCCTGGGCCTGTGCCCAGTTTGCCCATATTATAATCCGGCCTTGGGTATACATAATTTGGTATATAAGTCACTTTGGTATATAAGTCACAGGACCAACCAGACTATGAAAAAAGTGCTTCTTATAGTCCGAAAAAATACGGTAGCTTATTGTTACATGAATGTTGCTGCTCTGTGCTTGGAGCGAGATTACATCATGACATCATGAAGGAGGCTACTGATGGCCCGGTGACACTTGGTGGTGACGTGCGAGCTGATTCATCTGGTAAATAACTAAGTTAAATGTTATTTTCTTTGGTAACAAAAGGAAATTAACTAATAGCTTGCATTCTTGGTGGACACTCGGCAAAATATGGAAGCTACGCCACAAGGCATGCGCACGTCAAGATGCTATTATCATGGTACACTGGCCTGGATTTGTTTTCTGTATCATCATTAGCCCTGTTGATCACTGCTGGACACCATGGGGCACCTGACATGGGCCAAAATGTTTCATTTAAATTCCAGTTTTGTTCATATTTTAACAGATATTTATATAACATGTTTATCATTACGTGTGTTTAACTAGCTCTAATGTGATTAATTAAATTAGCACCTCACTGTTAAAAGCTCATTTTAAATTAGAGTGTGTTTATATGTTTATGCACAAAAACAAAACAGGAAATATATAAATTGAGATATATTTAATTAATAAAACTATGAATTAATAACTGAGGTTCAGGAGAGGGAGAAATCCTTCAACGGCACATTCTTCTGGAGACCCAACTGCTGACACCAGAGGATCACAGACAACCAAGAGAACAGCTGATATCAGTAAATAAATAATAAAATCAGGGGAATTTTTGTGGGATGTTTGCAATTGTGTAACATAAAAAAATAAAAAAATAAATACATTACAGAGTGATTTTCTTATGAGGTATTTTTATAACTCAGGCATTTGTCTGCATCAGACAAAAACTATAGCTCAGGTTAGTTGGCTGTATCCTAGAGACCTGCTATCCAGCATGTTTCAGTTGTTTACCTGCTTCAACACAGTTGATCCAGCTGTTCAGCAGCTCATCAATTTGGTGCTGGTTAAAATCTGGTGTGTTGAAACAGATAAAACTCTTAAACAGGCCGTATAATAGCTCTCTACGGCCGTGGTGCCTAGCCCTGCAGCTAATCTAAAGTTAATGGCTCATGGCTATTTACCATTCAGAGCTACTCCTTGCTGGGTCGTTGGGCAACTCACAAGCTCAAAATGATAGGGCTCGGGTCCGCTTCCCTCCTCCAAAAAGCCTTAGTTCCTTTCCTCTCTTTCCACTGGGTAAGAAGGGGGAGAAACAGCCTCCACTTAAAATGGCTGCTCAGTGGGAAAAAAGCTAGCGTCACCTCGTTAGACATCCATCTTCGTCGCTGCCACAGCTCCGCCCTCTCGGTCCACTAGGCAATGTCAACAAGTGGCTCATTTTTCAAAATTCAAATGTGGGTGGAATAAAACTCTGAGGCAGGCTTGACAGTTCTTTTTAAAATTAATGATGATTCCAGATGTCGACATAAAGATCCCAAAATTTTCTGGCTATTTTCTGAGAAGTAATAGATTTTTTTTAGTAATTTATGTATTTGTACAAATGCGCTTATTTTTTATGTTTTCAACTAAAACTGCTTGGAGTGTCTGTGTCTGCTTTGTCTTCTCGATCCCCAGTGAGTCGTGGCGGATGGCTTGTACTAAGCCAGTATCCTCTGTAGGTTTCTCCCTGTTAAAAGGGAGTTTTCCTCTCCACTGTCGCTAAATGCTTGCTTAGCATAATTGCAGTAAAGACACTGACACTAGTTGATGCAATTTGCTGGGTTCCTTTAATAGGTAACTTTTTACTGATTGGCTTAATGAACTGAACTGTGTTGGAATGTTCACTGTGTGAAGTGCCTTGAGATGAATTGGCGCTGTATAAATAAACTTGAATTGAATTATTTTTGTAGTCTACTGTCTTTGACAAATAAACTATTTAGTTCATTGTGTAATTTGTTTGAATTTGTACTTGTGAAGTACCATGTGTGACAAGTCATTCTGGCCTCTTGGTCAGGTGACCCTAGTAAATAACGTTTTCATATTTGACCTGGATCTATTACGGTTCAATTAAAAACATGTGGTCTTCAGATGGAGATACAAAGTAAAATAATGATGTGTCTGTGCGTAGGTGCTGTTTGCATGTGCTGAAGCCCTCCATGCTCACGGCTATAGTAATGAGGCTTGTCAGCTAGCTGTGGACCTAGCCACAGACCTGTTATCAAACCCTCCAGACCTGAAGGTTGAGCAGCCACAGGCAAAGGTACTGTTTCATCTTGTTCTGTTATCCTGCAATCTTTATCACTGTTTAGTCATGTTGAACTAGAGTGCTTTTGTTTGGAACAGAAGGAACTATTTCCAAAATGTAAAATATCTACCATGCAAATGGGCATGTGAGACCCAATGGAAATTATCTTTTTTTTTTCTTTTCAGGGTAAAAAGAGCAAGGTTTCAACCAGCCGTCAGACCCAGACAGCCACCAACACACTGTCAAAAGCTGCTTTTCTCCTCACTGTTTTGAGTGAAAAACTGGAGCTCCACAACCTGGCATTTAGCACTGGAATGTTTTCCTTGGAACTCCAGAGACCACCTGCTTCAACTAAAGCTCTGGAGGTCTGTTTACTATCTTAGATACAGTCTAAATTCACTAGTGCTCCTATAAACCATGAAAGGAGAATGCCACAGGAAAAATGAAGTCACTGACGATTGTCAGTTTACTCTGTAGAATACTCTGGCTACATTGCTGTTTAGCTTTCCAAATGATACTGTACATCTTCATGTAGACCTGTAAATGAAGGAAATCCAAATCTAGATCACTATCAGTGTACTAATAGTGTATTTTAAATGTTTAACATTACCTGACCAGGTGAAGCTTGCATACCAGGAGTCTGAGGTGGTGGCTCTGTTGAAAAAGATTCCCCTGGGTCTGGTGGAGATGTCAACCATTAGAGAGCGAGCTGAACAACTCAGGGATGGAAACCTCTGTGATTACAGACCTGTACTACCGCTCATGTTGGCCAGTTTTATCTTTGATGTACTCTGTACTCCTGGTAAGTTCAACTGCTTTCACTGATGAAGCTCCACTTTTGAATAATAGAATGGATGTTATCACTTGAATACAATTTTTCTTTTAATAGTGAACAATTTCAAACAGTGATTTTCAAACCCTTAATACCAAATGTTACTTGAGAACATCCCTGTCTCTTAGTATGACTATAATGACTAATATTTAAGGAGACATAACTATTTTTTAAATTTATAACAGCTCTATACTCTATGCAAAGCATGTTTTGCACTAAGTCTGTCTTTCATAAGTAAAATGATGGTGAGAGTTCTGTCATCCAGGTCATGGTAATCCAAAGGGATTAAAATGAAGGCAACTGAACTTTGGTTTTCTTCAAGACATTACGCTTCTCATCGAAGGAGCTTTGTCAATTCTGACTGGAATATGGCAGCGTCAAGCTTAAAAACTGTAGCTGTCTGCTGTTGCTTAATGAGCAGAAACTGCCGATGCGTACCTCTCCTCCCTACATTCTGTTAAATGGTAAATAGCCTGTATTTGTGTAGCGCCTTTTTAGGGTTCTACAACCCCCCAAGGCGCTTCACAACGCAATCAGTCATTCACCCATTCACACACTAGTGGGAATGAGCCTTCGGTCTTTAGCTTGGTGCGCTGCACAACCAGTAGGCTTTTGGTCACTGGACCTCAGGGACCTGCTGGGGGTGTAGGTACTGAGAAGATCACCGATGAATGATGGTGCTTGTCCATGTAAAGCCCTATAGACCAGATCCAGGATCTTGAAAAGAACCCTGAAGTTGACTGGCAGCCAGTGAAGCTGGAGGAGAAGCGGGGTGATGTAGGTGTGTTTGGAGGACTTGGTCAGAAGCCGAGCACAGGCGTTCTGAACCACCTGTAGACAGTTCAGGGAGGTTTTGTTCAGACAAGTGAAGAGAGTTGCAGTAGTCTAAGCATGAGATGAAGGTGTTGAGAACAGTCTCAAGTTCAGAGCGGGACAGAATGGGAGTCACCTTAGCAATGTTCCTGAGATGGAAGAAGAAAGAATGAACAAGAGAACTGGCATACGAATCCAGGGTGAGAGCTGGGTCAAAGGTCACACCAAGATTCCTGACAGAGGGTTTGTTTGACAAGCCAGCTGACCAAGAGAGTCTCTAACTTTGGGAACCAGCTTGTCTGAAGCACAGATGAGGATCTCAGTCTTATCTTCATTCAGCTGTAGAAAGTTCCAAGCCATCCAGGTTTTAATAGAGTCTAAGCAGGTGTGTAACAGCTGCAGGTTGGATATCTCACAGGGCTTAAAGGAGATGTACAGTTGGATGTCATCCGTGTAAGATGGTAGGAGATTCCTTTGAAGGGACTCAGGATGTGCTGAGGAGGAAGCAGATAGAGGAAGAAGAGCAGATGCCCCAGCACAGAATCTTGTGGGACACCATGGGTAAGGGTGGTGGTGGTGGACCTAAACTTGGGAACGGCCACAGAGAAGGAGAGCTCAGAAAGATAAGATGAGGGTCACTCCAGAGCAGTTCCTGATAGGCCTACCCAGTCTCTCAGCCTCTCCAGTAGCAGGTGATGGTCAACAGTGTCAAGGCCCGAACACTGGCACCACCAGTCCCTCTGACCACCATCAGCAGGCAAGGCAGGTGATTTTTCCCAAGGACACAACAGCAGCATTCTATGGTCGGAGCTGGGATCGAACCTGAAACCTTCAGATTACTGGACAACCCACTACCTCCTGAGCTACTGCTGTCCCTTTATGAGTCGTCAAGGTCGTTAGCCTGTATTGTGAAGGAATCGTATTAAGAGGGTGTGACCTAGACTAAAATGGTTTGGGGATTAGGCTAAGAGCAGCATTAACGGTGTTTGAAAGGTGAAACTTGAATCGTCCCCCTTTGTTTAATACACCGTATTATACCATGCCAGTTTATTTATCAAGCGTATTTAAAAACTGCATGTGCATCTCGTCTCACATGTGATACAGTAAATATACACGGCTAACAAGTCAGCACAAAATATAACTGTTAGCTTCAAGGGCAACATGCCGGTTATCACTTGTAAGTCGCTTTCAACAAAAGCGTCTGCTAAATACATAAACATAAACATAATAACCTTGAGCTGAAAGAAAAACAACCTTCAGGAAGGATTGCAGTCAGATGCTGTGAAAACTCGACCTACCCCCCTGCCATCGGATTGGTGGTCTTGCTCACCCGGTCAGGCGAACTGGTAAGCAGCAGAGAACTGGTTAGATCAGGAAGTGACCTAGCTTTTATTAATTACTGTTGACAAATTTAGACAAATCAGAATTTGACAAGTTTAAAGGCAATACCAAAATACCTCAGGAAATTACTCCTTCACTCAGATACTTGGGGTTTATTCTTAGTCTGAAGTAAAAATGTTAAACATTAATAATAATATTATGAGGTGTGAATATACTGATATATTAAATTCTTAAAATCAACAAATACTAATCTGGTGTAATTTAAAATCTGAAATAAATCCGTACAAGAAAAATATAAATTTTAACCTATCATTCATTAATGTAAAGTATAAGACACATTATTAAAACACTTAGGATTTTAACAAATTGTTCATTCAACAAAATATGATTATATAAACTTATAAAATTATATAGTCGTTATGTGAGCAGGGGAAGATGAGTACAAGTAAAAGTACTTTCTTAAATGTTTACTCAAGTAAAAGTATCGTAAATAAAATGTACCCAAAGTAAAAGTTACTTAGTTACATTTTTGTCAGCATAAGAATGGTATGTATATATATATATATATATATATATATATATATATATATATATATATATATATATATATATATATACATACATACAGGTGCTGGCCAGTAAATTAGAATATCATCAAAAGGTTGAAAATATTTCAGTAATTCCATTCAAAACGTGAAACTTGTACATTATATTCATGCAATGCACACAGACCAATGTATTTCCGATGTTTATTACGTTTAATTTTGATATTTATAGGTGACAACCAATGAAAACATCAAATCTGGTATCTCAGAAAATTAGAATATTCTAAAGGCCAATGAAAAAATGTTTGTTTCTCTAATGTTGGCCAACTGAAAAGAATGAACATGAAAAGAATGTGCATGTATAGCACTCAATACTTAGTCGGGGCTCCTTTTGCCTCAATAACTGCAGTAATGCGGCGTGGCATGGACTCGATCAGTCTGTGGCACTGCTCAGGTGTTATGAGAGCCCAGGTTGCTCTGATAGTCGTCTTCAGCTCCTCTGCATTGTTGGGTCTAGCGTATTGCATCCTCCGCTTCACAATACCCCATAGATTTTCTATGGGGTTAAGGTCAGGCGAGTTTGCTGGCCAATCAAGGACAGGGATACCATGGTCCTTGAACCAGGTGCTGGTGGTTTTGGCACTGTGTGCAGGTGCCAAGTCCTGTTGAAAGGTGAAGTCTGCATCCCCATAAAGTTGGTCAGCAGCAGGAAGCATGAAGTGCTCTAAAACTTCCTGGTAGACGGCTGCATTGACCCTGGACCTCAGGAAACAGAGTGGGCCAACACCGGCAGATGACATGGCACCCCACACCATCACTGACGGTGGAAACTTTACACTGGACCTCATGCAACGTGGATTCTGTGCTTCTCCGCTCTTCCTCCAGACTCTGGGTCCTTGATTTCCAAAGGAAATGCAGAACTTGCTTTCATCAGAAAACATAACTTTGGACCACTCAGCATCAGTCCAGTCCTTTTTGTCCTTGGCCCAGGCGAGACGCTTCTTGCGCCGTTTCATGTTCAAGAGTGGCTTGACACACGGAATGCGACACCTGAATCCCATGTCTTTCATGAGTCTCCTCGTGGTGGTTCTTGAAGCGCTGACTCCAGCTGCAGTCCACTCTTTGTGGATCTCCCCCACATTTTTGAATGGGTTTGTCGTCACAATTCTCTGCAGGGTGCGGTTATCCCTAGAGCTTGTACACTTTTTTCTACCACATTTTTTCCGTCCCTTCGCCTGTCTGTTAATGTGCTTGGACACAGAGTTCTGCGAACAGCCAGCTTCTTTAGCAATCACCTTTTGTGTCTTGCCCTCCTTGTGCAAGGTGTCAATGATTGTCTTTTGGACAGCTGTTAAGTCAGAAGTCTTCCCCATGATTGTGGTGCCTTCAAAACAAGACTGAGGGACCTTTTAAAGGCCTTTGCAGGTGTTTTGAGTAAATCAGCTGATTAGAGTGGCAGCAGGTGTCTTCTATATTCAGCCTTTTCAGAATATTCTAATTTTTTGAGATACCAAATTTGGAGTTTTCATTAGTTGTCACTTATGAATATCAAATTTAAATGTAATAAACATTGGAAATACATTGGTCTGTGTGCATTGCATGAATATAATGTACAAGTTTCACGTTTTGAATGGAATTACTGAAATATTTTCAACCTTTTGATGATATTCTAATTTACTGGCCAGCACCTGTACACTCAACTAGGGGATTATTGGGAACACCATTCTAATACGGTGTTTGACCCCCTTTAGCCTTCAGAACTGCCTTATTTCTACGTGGCATTGATTCAACAAGGTGCTGAAAGCTTTTGTAACCGGATTACAGGATACAATAAGATAATTAAAAGAAAAAATAAACAAATGGGCCAATAATTAGGTTCGGGGAGAATTGGAGGTTGTTTAAGAATGACTGGAGTCACGGGTATAGCATGAAACGGTTTATATACTAAATTTTAATAATAATGGGAAATATAACACATAAAGATAACACACAAAAACAGATGAAAACAATCGACAATAGTAAAATGCTCGGTATGAGATTTGATCATATGAGTCACAAGTCAGCCGGCGTCAAGTCAAATCCCCACGCTTGGGGTGAAAGTCAGAGTCCGGTGGTGCGATTTTTTCCTACCACACCGTTGAGATTGTTCACAGAAGAGAGCAGTCTGCTCTTCAGTTACTTGAGATGTCCTGGTTCGTTCAGTGGTTAAGGCTCGCCATCTCCCTCGTCAGGAAGAAATCCAGTTCTCGTTCCAAGTGAGTGATCATAGGAGTCGGGATCAAACCCAAGGAAAAAAAAAAACCCAGCCTGTAAACAACAGGACTGTTAGCGAGTTGGCATCGACCCTTCTCGTCACATCACAGCATAAAGTCTTACAGACTTAAACAAATGCTTCACTCTATTGGCATAGCCAATCATGTTTGGGTTCACAGTTCAACTAACATAACATCAATTTGATTGTCTATTAAAATAATTCTCAGTAGCTCTGGAAATATAATTACATATGACAACAATTGTTCAGCTCAATAGGCTCAGTTAGATTCTATTACTCTACACTATTCAACAAGAAATACATTCATGACAACAAGGATACATTTAGTTGTGTTTCTATACAGCATTGTGACACCTTGTATCTCTGTAACACAATAAATAAATAAATAAATAAATAAATAAATAAATAAATAAATAAAATGTTCTATAACAAAATTCAACAAAATATAAATTCTGGTCCTTTGGTCCACCTTTGTAAAATAATTCCTCCCTAATCAGTTAGCTTTTATTTATTTTTATTTATCTATTTTTTTTATTATTAAATGTTTGGTTAAGGGACGCATTGCTAATTCTATGGCGTTAGCTATAACGCCCCTGAGGACCTTGTACATCTAGGCCGTACCACCGTTAACTGGCGGTTTGAGCCGTTAACTCCTGGGAATCCCATATGCCGTACCGCCGTTAACTGGCGGTTTGAGCCGTTAACTCCTATATGCCCTACCACCGTTAACTGGTAGTTTGAGATGTTAACTCCTGGGATCTAACGTCTAGCAGCCCACTGCTGTCACCTCGGTTGCTGTAATTAGCTTTTTGAATTTAATAATTTACTGAATTTAATCTCATTCACTCACCAACGCGCTCCAACGGTTCCCTCCTACAGAGGATTGGTTCACTCTGTCGTCTCCACACAAATCTATAAGAATGGAATTAATTTGATAAGCTATTTAAGTTTCCCTTTTTTTTTTAAGTTGCATCGTTAGCTTTTTCTCTTCTTTTTTCTTTACTCACCGCGTTGGTTCCAAGTTCCTAGCTCTTATTAGAAGGAGTCAAGTCCGCCTCTCCCTCTATCTATGCGGCACCCAAATCAGGGTTCTTCACGGCCTCGACCGTTGTTTTTTTTTCTCTCTCTCTCTCTCTCTCTCTAACCGCTCAGTCTTTGCTTTCTGTATCTGCGTGCTGCACAGCCGTTTGTCTCTCCTCTCGCTCAGCTGCGTCGCACGGTTTTATTTCGCGGAGGCGGGACTTATTTCTCTCAGCCAATGAAATTTCAGATTCCCACCTGGACCAATAGTATACAGCTTTCCTCTTCTGTTTCTGTTAGGGATGTTCAAGATTCTTGTTTTAACCGATGTTTAATATTAAACTCGTTATTTTAGTTATTCACCCTTCCAATAATTCATTATGAAATTATCTATTAGTTAATTAGATATCTATTAATTAGTATTGTTAATTTCCTTAATTTATATTTTATATTTTATCTAAATTGAGGATGGATCATATTAGTAAGCCAATTAGTTAATACCTCATTAAGGTTCTAGCTTCTGGGTTACACTTTCTTTAGAAATATTGGCCCATTTTGAAAGGATAGCATCTTGCAGTTGATGGAGATTTGTGGGATGCACATTGTAAGAATTTAATTTACATCTATTTAATGAACCATAAGACATGAGATTCCATAGTGAATATGAAATCAATCTTATGGATCTTTGGGTAATGTTAACCAGAAGATTGGAACTTTTTATTGCAGGGATTATGTAACACTTCGTATTAACTGAGAGACAAGAGAAGAGAGAGTCACCTTTAAAACGTTTAAGAAGATTTATTTCTAAACATTTTTAAACAAGACTAACTCTAAACTCTAAGTGATGAATGGATCTTGGTGTAATGAGACGTGGGATGAATGGTGTATGTGTGAGTGATGTCATCAGAACTGTCGTATCTGGAGAAGCAAGTCTGAGTGATGAAGTGATGTTTTGCTCTTAAGCTATGATCGGAGTTTCATAAACACATAAGATGCCATTTTGTCGCTCCACACATACCCTTAGAATGACACCTCCGTACAGATCCAGAATGCCAGGTCCTCAAACCCCTCTTTCGGTACCGGAGCCGATGAAACTGCGTCAGCAGTATCACAGACTAGTCTTTGGATTGTCTCCAGGTAAAAAGTGACAGTTGGTTGACAGCGTCAGATGGACCCGGAGGGTCAGTGAGTTCAGCTTTTATTCTGAAAGGAACCGCTGCTTGGTTGGTAAAGTGCAACAGATTTTATCCAGCTTGTTGGTTCTTTGCTTAAAAAGGAAGTCTGGGTGGCCGGTCCGATACTTCTCTTAGAATGCGGTGAACTTCCTTAAGGTGGCGCGGGGACTGGTTTTATTAATCTGGATGTTTTGATTTGCGGTCGAATCAAAGTTGGACAGATTTATAAACACCACAGAGACTATGCCACGCTTCAGAAAGGAAGGTTCCGATTGTATGAGTAAAAGCAATATTTCATGTGTTTACATTACGTGTAATCAGGATGTCTAGTGCAGCTAGATTAAAGTCATATTACTTATTAAACCTTACTAATCATAACATTGTCATTTCACAGATTGGTCAACATCTTATTATTGATTAACACTTTGTTTGATTAGCTTTATTAAAAATAGAGTTCTTTGATTTATTAAAAAGAGAGTCCTTTGTCTTCATTCTTCTCTTGTGCTGGAAAGGAAAACAGTTTAGAAGCAGATTCATGAGACCTTGAACAATATCTCATGCAGATTAGTTCTTGCTGAGGAGAGGGGGGAAATGACTTTTAGGTGGAAAACAGTCATTTCTAGCCTAGTGAACTAGACCAAATTCTTGCTTTGCAAAGTTTGGTCTAGGCATGCTCCATTGGAACCTCAGCAGCTCCTACCAGGACTCTGGCTAGCCAATCACAGCTCTCTAGAGGGGTTTCAAACACATAAAGAGCTGTGATTGGTCCATAATGGTGGGCCAATCATAGTGCTCTATCTGCTTAGTGAACAAATCACAGAGCTTTATCCGCTTTGTGGGCCAATCAGGGCACTCTATATGCCTGGTGGGTGGGATGATGCAACAGAGTGAAACAAGAGTATGCCACATTCATTGTCCAGTGGAATGCGGAGATCATTTGAAAGACAACGGTAGAACCCGCCCCACAACCGAGAGCCGTCAATGGAGCGTGGCCAGACTAAATAATACATTTATTTAGTCTGGCTTGCCAGGCTAAGTCATTTCATTCCGTTACAACATACAGGGCACGATGCTCCCGTTCCATCACATCCCAAAGATGCTCTATCGGGGTGAGATCTGGTGACTGGGGGCCACTGTAGTACAGTGAACACAGTGTCATGTTCAAGAAACCAATTTGAAATGATTGGAGCTTTATGACATGGTGCATTATCCTGCTGGAAGTAGCCATCAGAGGATGGGTACATGGTGGTGTTGAAGGGATGGACATGGTCAGAAACAATGCTCAGGTAGTCCTTTTCATTAAAACGATGCCCAGTTGGTACTAAAGAGCCTAAAGTGTGCAAAGAAAACATCCCCCACACAATTACAACACCACCAGCATCCTGCACAGTGGTAACAAGGCATGATGGACCCATGTTCTCATTCTGTTTACGCCAAATTCTGACTCTACCATTTGAATGTCTCAACAGAAATCGAGACTCATCAGACCAGGCAACATTTTTCCAGTCTTCAACTGTCCAATTTTGGTGAGCTTGTGCAAATTGTAGCCTCTTTTTCCTATTTGTAGTGGAGATGAGTGGTACCCGATTGGGGTCTTCTGCTGTTGTAGCCCATCCGCTTCAAGGTTGTGTGTGTTGTGGCTTCACAAATGCTTTGCTGCATCCCTCGGTTGGAACAAGTGGTTATTTCAGTCAAAGTTGCTTTTCTATCAGCTTGAATCAGTCGGCCCATTCTCCTCTGACCTCTAGCATCAACAAGGCATTTTCGCCCACAGGGCTGCCGCATACTGGATGTTTTTCCCTTTTCACACCATTCTTTGTAAACCCTAGAAATGGTTGTGGGTGAAAATCCCAGTAACTGAGCAGATTGTGAAATACTCAGACCGGCCCGTCTGGCCCCAACAACCATGCCATGCTCAAAATTTCTTAAATCACCTTTCTTTCCCATTCTGACATTCAGTTTGGAGTTCAGGAGATTGTCTTGACCAGGAACACACCCCTAAATACATTGAGGCAACTGCCATGTGATTGGTTGATTAGATAATTGCATTAAGGAGAAGTTGAACAGGTGTTCCTAATAATCCTTTAGGTGAGTTTGTGTGTCAGTCAATGTGTCCTTGTGTCGACACTACACCCTCCGCCTTTGGCGCCTGTGTTTGGCATTCTCGCTTTTGACAATGTACCCCAGGGCAGCTGTGGCTACATTGTAGCCTATGATCTCCAGTGTGTGAATGTGTGTGAATGGGTGAATATTTGGTTAGTTGTAAAGCGCCTTGTCGGGTTATAGAACCCTTGAAGGTGTTATATAAATATAGGCCATTTAGGGTGTGTTAGGGTCAGGAATCAATGTGTCTCAAATCCACATTTATCAGGATGAAGAAGATGTATGTGCTTGGTTCCATGACCACACAGTTTTATGTTTTTGGATTTGTTTAGTAATCTTTTAGGATTAATCTGTACTTTGATTTGACTGCCATTAATTGAAGACTGTTTTAAGTTGTTTTAGTTTTACTTAAGTATACTTTAAACAATATATTTTTAAGACAAATTACTTATTTTCTTTTAAAACATTTTTTCCTGAAGTTGTATCCCCAACTGGTTCCCGGCCGCCCAGCCGTAACAGAAACAATGAGATGCCCGGGGATGAGGAGCTGGGCTTCGAGGCTGCTGTGGCAGCACTTGGTAATTGCATTTTTCAAAATCTACTTTTTTAAATTGTGTTTGGATTTGATGTTCTTCCTGTTTCTAAGTTTCACATTTTTCATCTTCATAACGTTTTACTCGCATTCATTCTTCCTTCTACTGTTTTGTTTTACTCCAATTTTCTAACCTTTTTTTCTCCTGGTGGTGTCTTTGCAGGTATGAAAACCACAGTTAGTGAGGCAGAACATCCATTGCTTTGTGAAGGAACTCGGCGGGTTAAGGGGGACCTAGCCTTGGCTCTCATGATCACCTATAAAGATGACCAAAGCAAACTCAAAAAGGTAGAGGCTTGTATCTGGTTTAATAAAACTGCCTTGTAGCAGATACAGATGTGGATACAATTGTTGGTACTAATAGTCAGTGAAATAACTTCAAACTGACAAAAGTATTTGTAAAGAAAACAAAATTACTATCGTTGGTCAGATTTCAGTCACTCTTTTTGAGAGTCAATTTTTAGAGAAAGAAAGGGGATTCACCTTGTTTACAAACTCATGTTGCATTGGGTCACATGGTATTTGACCAATCACAGGTCACACGGCCAGCATGTCAAAAAATGAATGCATTCAAATAAATTACATTTTAATTAAGTCTTCATTATTTTACAAGCACAGAGAGCTGCATCAGATGGACGAAAGAGCCGCAGGTTTCTGACCCCAGCTTTAGATGGTCTCTCAGTCTAAGTTGGTTTACTGACACTAATATAACATTTAGCACCATATTCTAATTTTTACAGTTTCACCAATAAACAAATCTAATCTATTTCATAAGGATTGAGCTTAGTTTGACCTCAAAACTTCAGTTAAGGTGAAAGTTCTAAACAAAAGCTAAGCTCAGGGTGAATTACCAAAAAAATGAGAGTAAATTATAGTCAGCTGAAATTTTGTCTGGCATTACAGCAGAACAGAGGCATTAAGGGCACCCATCTTTGACTCCTCATGGTAATATTTGACATAACCATAAGAAAAACCTGGAAAATGTTTTGGTAACGGAGCTACTGGACTGGAAGACATTTTGTGCCCAAATAGGAATGTTCTTTTCATTGACAAAGTAGATGTGGCAATGTTACATTGTCATTTACCTTTTTTGTTATCATCTTGTAATATGTGGGGTCTTAGTTGCTTTTTGATCCTGTTAGATCCAGAGTTTAAGGTTTTGATGTACTATGTGCTGCTTTGTTTGGTACGTGATTTTCTTGTTTTGTGGTATTTCTATCAGACTAACCATGATGTACCCAGACACTTGAGGTTTAATGGAATTTAGAAAAAAATTCTGTTCTGTGTTTATTTTTTTTGAACATGTGTGAAATGTATATTTCCTGGCAGAGGGTACGTTTAATAGTTTTCAGAGCTTGATTTTTGGCAACATAATGTAAATTCTGTGATTTTTATTTTTCTATGTACAAAGGGAGTGAAGAATTTTCTCTCCCAACTCTGCTTACATTTTCAGATTCTGGACAAGTTGTTAGATCGGGAAAGTCAAACCCACAAGCCCCAGACTCTGAGCTCCTTTTATTCTAGCAAACCAGTAGCTGGAAATCAACGCAGCCCATCAAAACATACCATAACCAGCCACAGCGGGGTCAGCGGTGCTACTGGGGGTGTCACCAAACATTCCCTGTCTTTATCCTCTCCACACACTGTGGCTGCCTCTTCAAACTCTTCATCTGCTGTGCCACTGGCTGATGAGGAGGTGGCTGATCTGACCATAATACAGAACAACTCAACTGGGGAAAGGACTGCCGACACCAGAGAGCACGGTAAGAACCACTACCACCTCTGGGTGCTGGCTCTTCTTGGGCTGACATTTAAATAAAGTAGCATAATGTGCTACTTTATTATTTCAAATTATTGGAAGGGGGTTGAGAAGGGTGTTGTCAGTCACTGCCTCAGCACCCTGGTCTTGGTCTGCCAGGCAATGCCTTCATTAGACACATTTTTCAAACAGCAAGTGTGGCTGAAGTGAGACTCCACCCAGGGGGTGACTGACCCTTCAAATCCACCATGTCACCTGTTTTCCAGTCTCCAAAATGTGCTTACACCAGGGTGAGAGTTTGCCTAAAGTTGCCAACTTTTCCAGTAAGCATTATCTTTATAAATCACAAAGTTTATGTTGAATATGCCTTAAACTGTTTTAAGAGCCCACTTTCTTGGCAGCTTTGTCAATCTTTATGATATTCCTTTATAAATCGTTGGTTGTTATGATAGAAATTTTCTGTTAAATATATCATCATATTGCATGAGCAATCAGCACATTTCTGCTTCCCATCTTCTCCCCGTATAAGCAATTTAAGATATTAATTGCATATTAAAAGTCAGGGATGTCAAACTTATTTTCACTATAGTCAGTGCTATTGTGGCTCTCAAAATGCAGGTTGTTCAAGGTCCAGGGTTACTTTTATTTTTACCCATAGGTAGGTTTGATTATGACATAAGATCTGACATCCTCATTAACACACCTACTACACAGTGGCGGCACTAGGGGGCGCCATAGCTACCTCTGGATTTGTCATAGCACCCCCAAGTAAATATTAGATTTTTTTTTTACTATTTAATTTTAATTTAACGTGTGGATGTGATAATATTTAACATACAAAACAAAAATAATCAGTAAATGATCATATAGATTGTAAAAACTTAAACCAAAACAGGAAATTGATGTTAACCTTTGACTTCATTTTCCACCTGTGAACGAGTGAAAGGTAGAGCTAGTGGTATAATTGATTGGTTTTTGTTGCCCAAATTTCCACGGGTTCAGTCAGAAACGAATGAATCTTTGGAAGTGATCTCAGACCCACAAAAACCTACGGATCTGGATGAAGAGAGTCAATCCTCAACCGCCGCAGCAGTCGAGGGTTTTGCCGCTGGAAATGCTAACACTAACGTTAGCTAACCTTGCAACACTATAGATGGTTTTCTGTGTGGCTGTATGCGTTTATGATTTCATGGACAAGTCGGCAATTGTTCATATGTTTATGATGTATATTAATGATTGTTTCAGGTGTTGTTGAGGTTTTGTGCACTTATGTGTATCTGCTAGTGTTGAAGGTGTTTTAGAGAACAACAGGTACGCATGACCACTTCCTTCATAGCACCCTCAATAAAAAGACTAGCTCCTTCATAGCACCTGCAGAAAAAAAATTCTGGAGCCACCACTGCTACTACACAGTGTCTGTAAGTTGAAGTCATCAGGGTGAGGAGGAGGAGATTTTAAAATTCAAAAGGCTGTTGCTCACTTCCCCGCCCTTCCTGAAAGAAGGCACCAGAAGAGGATCACATAGCTGCACTTTAACCCACTGAAACGTGATTAAGTGGCTGCTACAACCACATTGTTAAGATTACAGATATGATTTATATATAAAACGGAAGTGATTTTTGTAATCTACCAGGCAGTGCCTTTCTTTGTGCTGTAAGTATTACGGTTGTTTTACTACAAACGCTAACGAGCGAAGTCCTGTACAGTCTCATTGAATCCAATGTGTTTTGAGCTGAAAACTGTCTGACTGAAACTCTGACAAAGAGCTGTCTTTCCAGTCTGTTATCCTACAAATAGCGAGTAAATATTATGAGGTTTTAGTTAGGAAAGCAAATTTTTGTCATTCCAGCTGATGCAGCTGAGTTTTAAAAAAATCCCTTTACAAAGGAGGATGCACCAGAGTGACTCAAAATCCTTGGTAGTCCAGTGGTGAAACAATATGTTTCCCATGCAGAGATAACTGGGTTCAAAAACTGGGCCAAAAAAAGTTTTCACTTCTAAAATTCATCTTACATCATACTTTTCCACTTAAACATACAATGATTAATCTCAATTAATGATTCAGCCTAAATATACAAATTTAGTGCCACAGTATTTGTATATGAGGATTCAGTTAGGCAAGGATACATTGAGTTACACAACATCCCTGGTAGGCTAGTTGTGAAGAGACTCTTCCGAAGTGGGAGACCTGGGTTCAATGCCTGTCTGAGCCCCAAAAAATTTTCACTTCTAAAATTTTTTGAGATCATACTTTGCAAGCTAAAATTTGATCACATGATAGCTTACCGTTAACTTCTGCTGACAAAAATGTGAGTTCTGGACAACAAACACTCTCCCTCTAGGTTACCATGGAAATGCAGTTGCCGCACACGCACCACCGGTTTTGTCCTGCACTTGCTTCATCCCGCCCTTCTTGCTCTTCATTTGTCCTCAGTGATGTCCTCATTAATGTTTCACTCTGGTTTAAAAGGTTGAGCAGATGACATGTTGATGTCGCCGAACAGTCACTACAGGGTCACAAAGCCTGCCGGTGCAACCTTATGACATCACTACCCAGAGTGCAGTGCGACGCTAACAACAATGGCGACCTGCGAGTTACACTATTTTTACAAATTTTAACAAAAATGAAGACATCAAGAAGGTTTTTTACACCACTTTAATATATCTGATACTAACATTTATCTTTTAAGAACCACAGGGTTTTGTTGCCTGGGTTCCTTTTA